ATTGTTGATAGTGAGACCATTTATTTTTAATACAAGGTGGTCTCAGTTACCTAGATCCATCTTATGTGAAATTTGATAGCTTAGATGCGTCACAAAGTTCGAGAAAAATTATTTTGAAGTTTGAACATGGTCAATGCAATAATTGCAACCACCCAATTTTACATCTAATGGTCAAGATTAATGTGACCACTTTGTACCAAAGATAAATGGTCTCATTCTATACTTTATTTATATAAAGAAACCACTTATTTTTGAGAAATTATAAAAAATGTACCTTAATTTTTGTTTAATTGGAAAAAGAAAACCCCCACAACTTTCATAAACCTAGCTGAAACCTTTTTTTCTCAAAATTCATTTTTTTGTACAAAAATAGCCTTGACGGTAGTCGTATTACCATAATAACTACCATATTACGGTACTTTAAATATCGTAATGACCCGACCAAACATTTTGGTACTTTAAGTACTGTAATAACCAAACTAAACATGACGGTACTTTAAGTATTGTAATGTCCAAGCTAAGCATTGCAGTACTTTAAAGACCGTAAAGTCTCTTTCTCCCTCATGTGCTACATCTCATTAGACTTTTCCTTTAAGGAAAGAAATATTTCCCCATTTTTGTTGTTAAGCAAGTTTCAAGAGTAGCTTTTCAACCTATTTGATTTTTGAGCATTTATAGCATGTATATGGTCTTTAAAGTACCAAAATGCCTGGAAATTTGAGTATTACAGTTTTAAAAGTATTGTAATGCTTAGCCTGATTATAACACTGCTGAAAAGACTATAAATCCTGAAAACTACTGGAAATTTGAGCATTACAATACTTAAAGTATACCGTAATGCTTAGCCTCGTCATTAAAGTACTTGAAGTATAGTTATTATGGTAATACAACTACCATAAAATCTATTTTGGTCACAAAAAATGTTAAATTTGAGGAAAAAAAGGTGTCCGATGAGATTTATGAAAATTATGAGTTCTTTTTTCCAATTAGATTGAAATTAAATTGTATTTATGATAATTTTTATTTTATTTTTAAGTAATAAAAAATATATAAAAAGACATCCCAAGCCATCCAATTTAGGATTAGTTGTGACCTCATTGTCTTCTTACGCCAAGTATACTTACTCTCCTTCCCCCGCAAACAAAGAAAGTTGCTGAAATATAATCGCTTATCTCTCTCTCTCTCTCTCTCTAAAATTGAAGAATGGCTGCTTCTCCTCAAAACGAGCAACAGCCTTCGGTGCTCCTCTTCTTTCTTAATGTTTTAACCCATCTATCTCTCTCTCTCTCTCTCTCTCGTATATATATTGATTGAATCTTCTTCTTTTCAGGGTTCTTCCAAAACGTTGCAGCTGTATTCTTACTGGCGAAGCACCTGTTCATTCCGTGTGCGCATCGGATTGAATCTTAAAGGTCATCGCATGCATTAAATCCCACTCTCGCTCTCTCTGTCTTTTAATTCCATCAATTACGACTTGCTTCATTGCCATCCACTACTGCCAAATACTAGTTTCTCAAACTTCTCATTCAAATTTAAAATCTTGCAAATGATCGACTCCATTCATGGTGTTTCTTCACGATAGAAGTAAAATTTTCTTCCTCGATGTGATAAATGTGATTGAAATTTGGAGTTTTAAAATGAACAGGCATAGCATATGAGTACAAACCCATCAATTTGCTGAAAGGGGAGCAATTCTGTCCAGGTATCAGCTGCTCTGGTTTCTTTCCTGTTGAGTGTATTCCTCTTTAATTAGGGTATAGGGTTTTTGTAATAAATAAAAAACTCTATAAAAATAAAATAAAACTTTATAGAGTTAGGAACAGTGAGTTGTGGATAATGGAATTGGAAAACAAGAAATTAAATGTAAATCAGCAGTACATCATAGAATCTCTTTTAGAGTATGAAGTTAGGGTCAATGAGAGGAACTCTTATACTCATACTCATAATGCTGGAGGTAGTGGCTATGGGTGCAGCGGGGGCTGTAAAATCAGGTTCTGAAGGCTCATGAAAACAATTGCATAAAATCCTCCTATTTTCAGGCATGCTAAAAGAGCTATTTCAATATAATATTTGCTCTATTAATATATGTACGCATAGGTTTGCACAGGCAAATATGTTCTCGGGATACTTAGGAACAGAGGGGTCGTAATTTTATTTCACCTGTCCAATGCGCTTGAACAGCGAGATATTAATGCATTTCACTTTTTAGAAAGAGAAGGAAATGAGCAAGAGAGTGAGGTAAGAATGTGGATGTAAATTATAAAAATGAAATTCGGGTCCCTATTCGGAAAGTAAAAAAGTGGCTCTACAAGTTGAGAGTTGTGACTGTTCACTGGTCTTGTGACTCTGCATGCTTCGCATGCCCCACATCAACCTATACTTTCCCCTTTGTTCTAGGAATGCATAAGAAGTATTTTCTTTTGGGTAAGTTACACATAGGAAGTGTTTCCATATAAATACATCACTTTCTCCTCTATTCTCCAATGTGGGACTAAAAACCCGTTGCTTCTGTGTAGCTTGAAATGATATTATTTGAATATAATACAAATAATACGTATTGGTTTTCATAAACCAAATTAATAACACGTAACTCGACTGTAAACCGTAGGTTTAATACTTGGGCCTAATGTACACATTCTTTGAGATTAATGTGACTGGTGGCTGTCATAAAAAAAAAGTTTCTTCCCCTTCTTTTGCTTTCAAACTTGGATTGTTGCGTTTTTCAATTTGTGGGGATTTCAAATTTCAATTCAATTAACTTTTTGAGATGCACGATTGATGAAAGCACTCTGTTGGCGGTTGTGGTGGTGGTGCAGAGTATGAAAAGGTGAACCCAATAAAATACGTTCCTTCCCTCGTGGATGGCGACTTAGTTCTATCTGACTCATTTGCCATCCTTTTGGTAATTCACTCAATTATTAGACTATTACATCCCTCTAAATCCTTTTTTATTTCTTTTTTGAGAGAGAGAGAGAGACCCTCTCAAGTCCATTGAAAACAAGAAAAAGAAAAAGGAAAGGAACACTTGGAATGCTTCTTTTAGTGATGTTTTCTCATCTTTCTTTAGTTTCTTCTGAATGAATTCCAAAATTTCCAATGTACATTTTTTAATGGAAACATGGCATTTTCTTTGTCTGTCAATGATGCAGTATTTGGATGAGAAATATCCCCAACGTCCCTTGCTTCCTGCTGATCTTCGGTTGAAATCACTCCATATACAGGTATGATCTTTTCGCCTGCATGGGGGCATAATATTTCAAAATGGCCCTGTTTAGACAAAATAACTTTAGTACGCCTTTGCATTCTAAACCTTTTGTTATTGCTCAACAGTCATCATGCTTGACATACTTTAGAGCTCTGAGTTAACTTTTAAAGTTTGTGCAATGCAATTTTCACTAACTGGAACTGAATATCCCTCACTCTTCTTGGGAGACATGAAAAGGAAGTGTTCTGAGTTTCATTAATTGCATGTATTTTTTGAATTTATGAAAGTAGATTTCTTGTTTATTGATGTGAAATTGAGAATTGTGTCCTTTCTGCAGGTTGCAAGTATTGTTAGCTCAAGTATACAGCCCCTTCATAACCTTTATGTTACTGTATGTTTCTGCTACAATATGACAACTTTGTACTGTTCTTCTTTGATGGTTTATCCATAGTACTATTTGGTATTATAAGGAAATTTGATTTCTAGTTTGTATTCTTTTATTAGAGATTCATTGAAGAGAAAGTCAGTACTGAAGAGATGTTCTCATGGGTTCAATATCACATAGGAAAAGGTTTTAGAGGTAAGATTGCATTGACTTTGTATATTAAGTGGTGATGTTGCATTATATACACGTTTTAGTATTAAAGAATGCATTTTAGACACCATCCAAGAGTCCTAGTGATTTCTTGGATGAATCAATTTAGGAATTTGGTTATGTCTCATCTAAATATCGCTTTATTAATTTACTTGTCTAGTACCCTGTAGAGATAGACATCTGCACAATAGAAACATGCCATGCTTATGTATTAATTTGATATCATGTTTTGAGATCTTAGGCTTGGCATTGATTAGTTAGGTGTTGATGATTGCGTCAATACTTCTCGAATCCTACTACTGAGCTAAGCTGCCAAAGAAAAAGGTTCTTTATGTTACTATAGTGAAGTCCCTAAGCATATTAAAAAATAAAAAACAAAAGTCCCTTGGCAGTACCTCTGCAGGGTAATAGTTTTCAGTCTGGCCTATCGCTTTGTTAATCCTTTATAGCGATACTCCATCTCAAGCTTAATTAAAAAAAAAGTCAGATTTTCTGAAAAACGTTTGAGAATGCAAGACTTTCAGCATAAGTTTAAAAACCTAAAATTTTTCAAGCAAATTAAGTATTGTTGTATTATATGATTTTTCAAAAACTTTTGAAAGAACTTTTAAGAGTTGTCTTAAGTTGCTTTCCTTTTTTTTTTTTTTTTTTTTTTTTTTTTTAATATGTTAACATTGTACTAGTGTAAAAAAAGAGTTACATCTTCCCAAAAAATTGGCTATCCACAAGCAGAACCCCTATATAGAAAAGCGCCCAAAGGGGGTGCAAAAAGAAACAGCGAAAGAACTATGCAATGGCCTATCTTACAAAAATTTACAATAACATAACATTAAGGGCCATAAAAAATGAGCCATAAAAAAATATGCGAATTATCTATGCTTGTTGTGTCCTTAGCGAGGGTGTCGGCTTCCTGGTTTGATTCCTACCAAATATACTTCCATGAGACGTGCATATCCTTGCAAAGGTGATCGATTTCATAAAAAATGTGAGCTAGAGTCCATGGGAAGGGAGAAATTTTAGACGCCTAATCAACAATATTCTTTGAGTCACCCTAAGTGACAATTGGGGTGTCCGTAAAGGGGAGTAATAGCCTAACCCCTTCCAGTAAAGCGAGAGCTTCAGTGGTCATGGAGTCGGCATGGCCAATATTCTTCGAAACAAAAGCGATAATGGCACAGCTTCCACTCCCATATAACAATGCAGGAGTATTGTTTGGTGGAACTTGGGTCTCCCACTGCCCAAAAGTTCCACCAAGCAAACACGCCCTAAGCACTCTCATGGTAACATTTTCTCCACAAAAAGGTTAAATAGAAGCTTCAATAGTGTCATACGCATATGTCGGCACATGCTAAGAACAATGGACTTGTCAGAGAAGTTTGGGGTCGAAGCCCTTGTCAGTGGGAGGGAGGCTTGGGGGGCATATGGGTATCTGGGACCCTATTGCCCATTCTTTGTCGTTGTCTCACATTGCTTCTTTCTCTATGTCCCTCTTCTCTCCTGTATCCTTGATGGTTTGGAATGGAAATTTAATGTTGTTTATGGCTTGGGATGAACTTAACCTTGTTGCATCCCTCCCCCATCCCCTATTGGATCATTGGCGGAGATTTTAATGTGACCAGATGTTCTTTTGAAAGAAATTCTTTTTCTAGGATAACTCTGGCCATGCGTCAGTTCTCGAACTTCATTTCCCATAACAACCTCCTTGACCTTCCGATTCAGCGGGCTCAATTCATGTGGTCCAATCATACTTCTTCCCCGACTCTTTCTAAACTGGACCGGTTTTTAGTTAGTCTTGAGTCGGATTTATTCTTCCCTGGATCTCACATCCTCGCCTTACCTAAATCCACTTTCGACCACTGTCCATTATTTTTGGACACTAGCCCTGCTTCCAAAGGCGCCAAACCTTTTAGATTTGAATTGGATTGGCTAGAAGAAAGGTCTATCCTATCCCTTATTCCCTCCTTGTGGGAGGCTCTCTCGTTGTCAGTTTCAAGTTGGGTTGGGTTCAGAATTCAATGTAAGCTTCAACTGTTGAAGGGACATCTCAAATCCTGGAGTCGCTTGTTGCCTAGATCTTTTCTCTGCCTGTAGTTACTACTGACTATCCATATTCCGATTCGTCCAGTTAATGGGAACCATGTTGGGGATTGAGTTGAGTGTTTCCCTTCCCTTGCCAAAGTTGAGGTGCTGCCCTCCGACCATAAAAAAGCCCTCCTAAACAAAAATCGTCCACGCTTCAGGTCATTCAAGACTTGGATATTACGGAAGAATCCAGGCTACTTTCGGCCCGTGAACTTCAAATGAGGTTCGATCTCAAGATTGAGTACCAATCGATCCTCAAAAAAGAAAAGCTTTTTGGCATCCGAGATCCAGAATCAAGTAGTTGTACTGTGGAGACTTCATCACTGGTTTTTTTCACAAAACTGCCAACTGTAGGCATAGAGACAACACTCTCTCTCACCTAACAATCAGCGAGGGAATCCTCGAGCAACCTCTTGAGATAGAAGAAGCTATTCTATCTTGCTTTAAGCAATTATTTGCCGCTCCTACCAGCCCCAGACCTAGGATGGACGACCTCTCCTTCCTCTCTCTCCCCCCTGATAAAGCGTTTTGGTTGGAGAGACTTTTCTCAGAATCTGAAATCCGATCAGCAATTGATCAAATGGCTTCAAATAGGGCTCCGGGCCCTAATGGATACCCGATGGCTCCCATCAAAATTTTATGGGAATCTTTTTGGTTGGACATCCTAGCTCTCTTTGATGAATTCCATGAGAGAGGAATTATCAATAGAGCTATGAATGCAACCTTTGTCACCCTTGTCCCCAAAATTGAAGGAGAGAAGCAGCTTAACGACTATCGCCCTATTAGCCTTGTGAATTCAACTTATAAGATCATTTCCAAAGTTCTAGCCTCTCGTTTGAAAGAGGTCCTTTCCCTTGTCATCTCTCCCTCCCAATGTGTGTTTGTGAAGGATCACCAAATTCTAAATGGGGCATTGGTGGCCCATGAGTGTATCCACTCTAGACATTTAGCCAAACTACATGGTCTTGTTATTAAATTAGATTGGGAGAAGGCTTACGACCACGTGGACTGGGGCATATTGGAAGAAACTCTCTCTAGGATGGGCTTTGGAGGCAGATGGAGGACTTGGATGAACGCACGTCAACCCTTCTTTTCTATTCTCATAAACAGATAACCAAAATGTTTTTTCCCTTCCTCCAGTGGATTGAGGCAGGGCGATTGCTCTTTGGCATCTCGACAAGAGTGTTAGCCAATCCATCTCTAGAATGTTTGCTACCGGCAGAATGAATGGGTTCAAGTGTGGAAGACGGGCCCCTCTAGTCTCCCACCTTCAGTATGTAGACGACACCCTTTTCTTCCGCAACGCTTGCTCCGTTGATCTTAACAACCTCTTCATGTTTCTAGATGTTTTGAATTTGCCACGGGGTTTAAAGTGAACTTCAACAAGTCTAAGATGATGGGGATTGTGATTGATCACCAAGTTACCAAGTCCTTTGCGGAAAACCGGGGTTGCGAGGCAGAGCACCTTCCTTCTAATTACTTGGGTCTTCCGCTCTGCATCGGAAAGCTTAAAAAACGTTCCTGGTCGCACATTATCGATAAGGTCAACCAAAAGCTTGCTAGTTGGAAAGGTCGTTTCTTATCCCCGGCTGGGAGGCCAACCCTTATAAAGGCTACTTTGGCTAACATTCTTGTGTACCAGATGTCAATCTTTCATATGCTAGTAGCGGTGTCTTCTCAGTTAGAACAACTCTTTCACAGGTTCGTTTGGGCTGGTGATGCTACGAACCACAAGTTCCACTTAATCTATTGGGATAAACTCTGCCAACCTAAGAGGTTAGAGGTGTCGGTATCCGCAACTTGAGAAAGCATAACTCAGCATTACTTGGGAAATGGTGGTAGCGCCTGGCTACCCAGAGAGACCAACTATGGATCGACATCCTAAAGCACAAATACGGAATTGCACCTTCCTCTTGGGTACCGGAGATTAGGGCGAACAGTAGATCTTCAGGGATCTGGAAATCTATTTCCTCCTCTTTAGCCTCTGTCGAAAGACTTATTCGCTTTCACCCTAGAGAAGGCAATAGGGTTCGCTTCTGGAATGACTTGTGGATAGGCCAGGTATTCCTCAAAATCCAATACCCTCAACTCTATTCGCTTGCTCACTTCCAAGAGGATTTAGTGGTAGAAGATATGACTACAGCCGGTGCTTTTCGAACGTGGAACCCGGTGTTCAAGAGCGATCTTACCGGCTCAGAAATACCCATTTTCTCCGAGCTTGCTGCTTCCCTCCAAAATTGTTTCTTAGCATTCCATGGTCAGGACCTCATTATCTGGATTCCCTCTCCATAGGGTATATTCTCTGTCTCTTCATTCTACCACAAACTTGTCCAACCACCTACTTTCGCTCTCTCCTCTACATCCCCTGCAGCTCAAGCATGGTCGTCTTTTGACCTTCCTAAAATCCATGTTTTGTGTGGCTTGCCCTTTCCTAAAGGGTGCTTATTGTTGACCACCTTCGGAGGAGAGCCCTTCCAAATCAATGTATCTTCTACATGGCAAACGAAGAGAGCAATGCCCACCTCTTCCTTCACTACCATTTTGCCCACAAGATATGGGGTAAAGTCCTTAGCCTTTTTAATTGCCAGTGGGTCTTACCCGCCAATGTACCTCAGCTCTTAAACTCCCTTCAACCTTTCCTGTGGCGTAAAGTAGGCATTTCTCTATGGAAGTCTTCAACAGCAGCCACGATTTGGGTGTTGTGGATTGAACGCAATAACAAGATCTTCCAGGGCGAACACTTATCCGGGGAAGGCCTTTTCTCCAAAATCAAACCCTCGATAGTTTTTTGGGCTACTAACCATAAGAGCTTCAAAGGTGTTCCATTTCTGCTTTCTACCAAAATTGGGAGGCCATTCTTCTTTTAAGCCCTAATCATACTCCTCGGGCTCCCGTTTGGAGACCTCACCGACACAATACCTTAAACTCAACTTCGATGGCTGCTCTCTAGGTCTCCCGTTTGGAAGGGGCATCTTCTACACTTTGTGGAAGAGGGGGCTTAGGTAGTCCCCTCATCTACAAATAAAAAACGCCCTTAATGTCACTCAAAATCCCATTTCTCTCTCTAAATGATTTAGGGTCATGTCATGTCTGAGTCAGCAATTCTGTGGTTGGCATTTCTGATGTGCATATCCATGTCAGAAGGTAATATGCGTATCATTGTCTTTCTAACATTATGGTTTTGGATATTTCTTTCCTTAAATCTCGCTTTCTTTTGTTGTCTGAAATGCCCAACCAAATATGGAACAATTTTATCTCACTGATCAATTACACCATTTATAATGTTAAAAAGTCCATCCTCATGAGCATGTGCTTGGAATCAGCTTAAATTGGTGCTGTGATGAACCCAATTCAGACATCGGGTGAGCTGTGTAGTTCTTGACTGGAGGTCCTGTAGTTTTTCTATGGTGTACATTGTCACTTGGGTGCTTCTCTTCCTGTGACAGATAGTTAATTCTGTTTGCTCAACTGGTGACCCCTTTTTGTTCAATTTGCTCTGCAGCAAATGGAGTTTTTTGCTTTGACTTGTTAACAGTCTGCATTTTGCTGTTTTTATGACTTTCCATAATTTCTTGATTAAATTTCAATCTGAATTGAACTTAAAATTCCCTTTTGGCTCCTTGGTGCAAAAGGTCTTTTTAACTCTTATGTCCAGCTGTTCACCATGATCATTCTTTCTTTTTGTAAGTTGTCACCTGCTAGCAAGAGCAGAGATTTGAATGCATTCTAATCCTACTGCATTTATTCGATGTGCTTGTAGCGATTGAGAAACTGTTAAATGGTGTTAGTGGCAAATATGCGACTGGAGATGACGTTTACCTGGTATCTTCCCTTATATTATTCTAGGATAGTTTGCATTTCTTTGCACATGGAAATATTTGCCTCTTGATTTTATCAATCCAAGTTCAACTCTTATGGTAGAATGAACTTGAAATTAGCTTCTAGGCCATTATGGTATGCTTGAGACTGGGAATCCCCTAATGGGGCCCTTCTGCCTTCCTCAAGGTTGGCATATGGGTAGAATAAACTTGAAACTAGCTTTCTAGGCCATTACGATATCCTTGGGACTGGGAATTCCCCAGAGGTTGCCCTTCAGCTTGCCTTGGACTAGCCAAGCACCATTTAGACATGGGAATGTAAAGTAGTATCGGAGTGGGTCGCTTGCTATGCACTCACTGATACTCTTTGATTTATTTTTTGTGAAATCCATGGGAAGTAATTGGGACTTATTCTTTTATGGCCCCTCTATATAGAAGATTATTAAAAAAAAAACTTTAGAGGACTGTAAAAGAGAACTTTGTTGTAGCCTTTAGATCTACTGGTATTGAGAGAAGAGTGGAGAAAATGGTATGACGAGTCATTTTTATATGCAGGCGGACCTTTTCTTGGCTCCAGAGATTGGTGCAGCAATAACGCGGTTTAAAGTTGACATGGTAAATTTTCTGTCATGTAATTTTCGTGATTGTGTACGTGAACTTCTATACTTATTTATTTCTCCACAGAAATAGTTTCTATGGCATCTTCTATGACATTTTAATAGGCTCTATTTTTCACATTCAAAAGATGTTGGCATGTGCATTTACACAGCCACTTATGCACAATATACTTCTATTGTTGGGCTTAAAAAATGGTGCCCGGCTTTACTCTCTCTCTCTCTCTTTTCTTTTTCAGTGTGTTGTCAGGAAACTATCAATTAAACCTGTCCCAGTTTATTGTAATCTATTAGTTGACATTTTGGTTAACATTCTTTCATAAATATTAGTGAGGCAGAAAATCCTGGCCCGAAGCCATCTCCCACACTGTCTACTACTTTATTGGCTTCCCTTGATGCATGAGCAATAACAGTCATTGCACCATATGTTTGCAAACTTGAATCTTTTGTGAAGTTTTAAGAAATCCTCCTCGGAATGGGACAACAGTAGCCTTTGTGCTACTGGTCTGTCATGAGAATGCTTGAAAGTTGTGGTCATTTCCTTCCCCCCATAAGCTGCAAGCTTTTAATTATTGGCTATTATCAACAAGGTTCTCACTCTGGACTACATCCAACATAGGGGAATCCCACTGCCCAATCGGTGTGTCATGTGCACGAAAGTGGAAGAATCTATAAACCATCTACCCTCCATTATGAAATGCCCTTCCAAATCTGATCCTCTTTCCTGAACCTTTTTGACCTAACATGGTTATGTCCTAACATGGTTATGTCCTTAATCAACTGATAATCTTTTCCTATTATAGCCAAACACTGTTTGCTTTCTCGGGAATGGTTGGTCAATGCAGAAGCAATATTGGGATTCCAGAACTTCTGCAGAAGCTGGGGTAACAACCTTATCATGAAGTTGACTCAGCAAATACAACTCCAAGTTGGCCCATTACCCATGAAGATTGGAATAAATATTTAAACAAATTCATGACTTGAGCTCTTCCTCAGTTTTACTTTCTCACAAACCTGGGAGGGAGGCAAACACACTGATTGACTAGTGAACGAAGGGTTTGGCAGTTCCGATCTCTATGCAAACAGTTTTGATACCTATCCTCGTCACAAATTTGGGGGCTGAATTCATTACCCTAACAGAATCGTTTGTACATTGTTGACATCCACAGTTCTATAAAATTTTGTACACCTCGTGGATGATGCAATATATCATTGCTGCAATGAAAACAGATAACTTCCAACAAAAAAAAGGAGAAAAAGAAAGGGAGAACCACCTTTAAACTAGCATATGACTGTTGGGAAGCTGTGTCCTCCTGTCTCTGTGAATCAAAAAGAAAAAATATCAAACCTCAAAGAAATAAAAGCACGTACACGATACTCCCTCGGGGGCATAGTTTACTTCTACTCCCTCAGTCACATGACCTACTTGAGAGGATTTTTCCAATATGAAATTTTGGCAACCTCCTTAGAATCACTAGATGATTATTCTAAAAAAAATATTTGAAATTTGAGTTTTCTAGCACTTAGATCTCACCCTCTAAAAATTGGACAGTTTCAATTCAATCTTGAGACATTATTTTCTTGAATTTCTTAGAGGGTGCAATTCATTGAGGTTAATCTATGTGTTTAAGAGGTTATACCCCCAAAATTTGGGGTCCTAAAACTAAACCTAGGTGGGGTTTTTACCTCAGGGATTAAATGGACAATATACTTCCAAGAGAGTAGAGTATCTTTTGGCAAGAAATAAAAATATGGAAATTAGTCGGAAATTAGAAACAAAACAAACACCAAGATTTGCATTGAAAACCCTTAAAAGAAAGGGAAAACCACGGGGCACCACAGATGAAATCCACTATGTAGAAAAATAATTCCAATAGTTTTTCCCAAGTTAACTAACTGTGACTTAAAGGATTAGGAACATGAAAACAAGAAAACAAGAAAACAAGAAAACAAGAAAACAAGAAAACATAGGTTACTTCTATAGAATCAATTTCATCTTCTTCCCCTTCTCAAAAGAATCACTTCTTCTAACCTTCATTGGAGAACACCAGCTTTCATCATATAGGAAGCCTCAAACCTTTGGTTTTTGAAAAAAAAAAAAGAAAATCCAATGTAATTTTTCTGCACATATAAAAATCCTAAAGAGAGAAACAAAGGCCAAAGGCCTTCAACCTCTCTCAGCAATTTTTTGGCTCATCTCTCTCTACAAAAGAAATAAGAAAACCTCTTTTTTTATAAGAAACCCTAACTATTAAATTTTTGCTCTTTCCCGAAAAGGCCCTTTTTAATTTTCTTTTTCTGTAGTGTCCCCCATGCTCATGGGGCCAGACCACCAAAAACATTTTGTAACAATTTCCCCTCTAGACCCATGAGGAGGGCTTTCCTTGCTTAGTGGATCTCGTGCCCAACGTACCTGTGCTCAAGTAGCACCCTTGCCTGCCAAGTCCCTACAAAGCTTTTTCTTGTCCTTTTTTAGGGCCTTGGTCGTCATTATCCATTGGATTGCGATCAGTATGGATTTTCTCCATTCGCATCAATTGATTCTTTAAGACATCTCATAACCAGTTATCGTGGACATCTATATGCTTCGTTCTTGCATGATATGTTACATTCTTGCTTAGGCTAATAGCACTCTGACTATTACCGTGAACCACATAAATATCTTGCTTCAAACACAATTCCTTTAAGAACCTCTTCATCCACAACATTTCTTTGCCTGCTTTTGTAGCCGCTATATATTCTGCCTTTGTCATTCTTTGCCTGCTTTTGTAGCCGCTATATATTCTGCCTCTGTCGTCGAAAGAGCAATACCAATTCTGCAATTTGGACTGCCATGACATGGCTCCCCTTGCAAAAGTGAACAAGTAACCTGACATGAATTTCGTGGTTTCAAGGTCTACAGCTATGTCTACATTTATATATCCATCTAGCACAAGCTTTTCACTTCCAAAGCATAAACATAATTTGGTTTTGCCATTGAGATATCTAAGAATCCATTTTACTGTTATCCAGTATTCTTTGCTAAGGTTGGCAAGAAATCTGCTAACTAGGCCCATTGCAGTGCGATGTCTGGCCTCGTAGTCACCATGGCATACATCAAACATCCTACCGCTGAAGCATAGGGAACATCCTTCATTTCTTTCTTTTCCTTCTCATTTGAAGGTCTCAGTCTTGCACTCAACTTAAAGTGTCTTGCAAGTGGTGTGCTAAATGGTTTTCCATTCTTCATATCGAACTTCTTAAGTACTCATTCAATATATTTTTCGTGCGACAGCGATAACATATTTGCTTTCTTGTCACATTTTATTTTTTTTGAAACTGCTTGACTTGTAGAAATTAGAGTAGTTACATAGCCACTGAAGTGGTAAAAATTGGCAGCCCACAAAATGGGTGCTTAGATTACAAGGAGGAGGGTAGAGAAGCAAAACTAGAATAGAAAAACAAAAATACATACAGATGAACATCTGAATATCTAAAATTGGCATCAAAAAATTGGAGCATCATCAATTTTGAAAGTCCCCAAAGGATGTCCACTTAGTTGGATTGTATACAGTTGCCAAAAAATGAATGCAGGCTCGAAATTGCGAGGGGCCAGTAGGAGAGCTCTGGTACTGAGTTAGGACATGACGAAGATGGATTCCATCACCAAAAAAATTGTGTGAGCTGGCCCTTCAAACCAATCTGCCGGGGACCAGAAGGATGAACGTACTGCCTAGAGCACAAGCTGCCCCTCCCCAACTGTCACATTTTATTTTCATGCGCAAAATCTGTTGCGCTGGCTCTTAATCCTTCATGTCAAAGGACTTGGCTTAATTCTTTCTTTAACATGTCAATCCTGGGAAGATGTTACCCAACAATTAGCATGTCATCAACATAAAGCAGAAGATTAATAACGTCATTGGTCAAAAAGTTTTCTAAACGAACACAATGATCTGCAACAGTGCTATTATACCCATGATAAATGAGTCAAACTTCTTGTACTATTGCCTGGGGGACTTGTTTCAATCCATACAAGCTTTTCTTCAACTTACAAACCAAGTGTTCATTACCATTCGCTTCAAAGCCTTCTGGTTGTTCCATATAAATTTCTTCCTTGAAGTTGCCATGAAGAAAGCCAATTTTTACATCTAATTTTTTTATCTCGAAAAGTTCACAGTTTAGACAAGAATCACACGAATAGATGACATTTTCATGATGGGTGAAAAATATTTCATCAAAGGTAACACCCTTTTCTAGCCAAAGCTTTTTTCCAGCTAGACGACCTTTGTACTTCACTTGTTTTTTTGAGATAAAGTTAACATTGTATTACTGAAATTGTTGTGTATAAGAATTGGTAAGTCCAAGTTCACCCGCTAGGGGTGGATCGGTAAAAAACAGTTAGCATATCATATACAAAAAAGGGGGCTGATAGATTCCGCCCGATCATATACAAAAAATGGGGCTTATAGCCCTGCAAATATGGTCAATTTCATCAAAGATAGTGGTTAGGTACCATGGCGGCGAGGTTGTCCTACTAACCTATGAGAGAACATTTTTTGAATCTCCTTCTATGATGAGGTGGAAGCCCCAAGAGCGGTTGAACTTTTTCAAGCCTTGTTGGAGGGCCAAGGCTTCTGCATTATGTACATCCTTGAAGCCAAGATGCTCTAAGAATGTAAGCAATACGTTGCCTTGGTGGTCTCTAAAGACCCCTCCAGCCCCAGCCGGGCCAGGATTCTCGAAGGAGCAACGATCGAAATTTAACTTAATGATTCCTTCTGGTGGTGGTTGCCAAATGCTGGATCTTTGTGGCTGTCGTGGGCTGTGATGGAGGTTATTTTTCCACTGGGGAAAGAACAGACTCCTTGGTATACCCTAGTAGACCTTGTGGTTCGAGGCCCAGAAAGGAACCATGGAAATTGCCTTGTGCAAGAGTCTTGAAATTTGTAGTTTGAACCTTGGAAGGTTTTGTTGTTTCTTTCCACCCAAATGGTCGATAAGGTTGCCACTAAGCTAGCCTTCTAGTTGAATCTGAGGGATCTCTACAGTGAGGTGTCTCGTGTTCGTTTCACAATGTGTATGAATTTTAAAACCTTTCTAAAGGAGATTCCCACTGTAATTCATATAGTGCCCTTTGAGGTTACATGTTCTACTTTCCTGATTGTTTTTAAGAAAATATATTTTAGCATCTCTTGCACCTTCTTTTTTCTTTTTTCTTTTTTCTTGTCTCCATTTTTTATGTATCCAATATTGTTTCTGTGGTCATTGGTGCAGTCGCAGTTCCCTCTTCTAACCAGGTTTTATGAAGCATATAAAGAGCATCCTGACTTCCAAGCTGCTGAACCTGCAATGCAGCCAGATTGTGTGAAACCCTAGGTGGTTTTACTGCCTCCAGCCATGTTGGTTTTAGCCGAAACTTCAAGGGACAAAAAATTTCATGAATCCTTGAGTTGATTGCAGTTCGTATGTAAAAATAAATATGAAATACAAAAAGAGGATACCAAAGAAGGAATGGCACTTTGTATCTATTTACTTCGAAGTGGGATGTGAATGGTACTTGAAGTAGCATATCATGAAATTTCATTCTGGTGTGTTATGCTTCCATTGTTGCTATTACTTAATGTGCTTTGGTTTTCATGCTAAGCCATGATGATTTGGGGTTAATGGCTGCTTCCGTCTTGCAAACTCCTTTCTTTCTGTGACTGAGAAGAGAGGTGAATTATTATTACCCAGTCACAAAATTAAGAATACAGAACAAGGTGGGAAAAACCAAAGAACAGAAGGCAGTCCGGCAAAAAGCCATGGATTTTCTGAAGGGATTGTATACAATGAGAAGCATTATCTTTCATGCATAAAGGTCGCATGCATCGCATGCCCCCGTATGCAAAATTGGACAACTGGGGTATGTCATTTCTTAGCACAGAGGCTGAGGAAATTTCTCGGACTTAGAGCACTGTAGCCTCAACTGCCTGATTTCTCATGCTAGTTGTATGACGTTGACCAGTGTTGCGGGGCTCGATTGAATTAGTATGGGTGAGACCCAGTTGCCCGAGTTATATGTACTATTCGGGGTACATAAAAAAGTTTAAAATTTTCCAAAAATAGCAAAAAAAATGGGAATATTGTCTAAATTTGTTTATATATAATTTGGATTTTTTGCAAAGATTGGTGAGTTTTTTTGCCATAACTGTTATTATTGTAATTTTCTTTTGTTGTTTTTTTTAAATGACCCCATCCATTTTTCTATACTTTTTAAACTTATTGAGACTTTTTAATGTTGTTTTTTGTTTTATTTAACTTTTGCTACAGTTATTGATTTTTTTTCATATTTTTCTTATCTTTTTAAATTTTTCTAATGGTGGCTTCAAAGTGGAGGGTCATTATGTTAGAAGAGGAAGAAGCAACTTTATCTGTTACTGTTGATGTTATGTGTTTGATAAAAAGTAGAAGATAATTTGAGATTCTGTTTGCCGTTGAAGTTCCCACCTTTTAGGCTCGAGTAAAGTTTCATGGTAAACCATCGAATTTGAAAAGGGGACTTTTTTTATTTTGTCCATGATATATATATATTTTTTATTTTATTTATATAATAGATATTTATAATATTATATAATAAAAATATATACAATGTATAATATATTAGATTATTTTATTTTATTTAAATAAATATAAAATACACTATATTATATTTTACATTACGTATATATGATATATGTAAATATTTATTATATACTATATTTGTTTATATAATAGAAATTTATAATATCATATAACAAATGTATATATTAATAGAAGAAATATAGAATACAATGTACAATCTACTAAATTATTTTATATAAATATAAATATATATTATATAATGAAATAAATAAAGAATACATTATTATGTTAGACATATATTGTACATTTATGTAATATAATATATATTATATATTTATGTAATATAAGATACTTTCATATATACATATTAAAATTAAATATAAAATACATTATTTTATATGTTATAGTATATTATAAATATTATAAAATATAATAGATATTTATATTATTATATAATAAAAATATATAATAATAGAATAAATACATAATACAATGTACAATATACTAAATTATTTTATATAAATATATATTATATAATAAAATAAATAAAAAATACATTATTGTGTTATATATATTATACATTTATGTAATATAATATTATATATTATATTATGTTATATATTATATAAAATATATATTTATATATTTATAT